AAATAATCTACTATTACCTTAAAGTCATTTGATTAGCCACCTGATTCCTTGTGCAACTTTATTTCCCTTTTGCCATGTAGAACAGGGGCATTTTTAGAGGCTTTTATTCTGCCTACCATGGGGGTTATTTTTTTAAGAATAGGTCTTTCCAAGAAACTGAACTTACCCATCTGGAGTTACTGTGCCATCGTTACCTTCTTCTCACTGCGTGGGCCAACCAGACTTCCATGTTTTAGCCTCTAGATCAAACTTTCTTCTTTAAGGCACATGGCAAATCCCATGATGATACTGTTGCTTACCAGAGATACTGATCATTTGCATCAGCTGAGTTCAAACATGATTTTAAGAGCCTAGTAATGAATCATGACCTTGCTAAGTCCTGCCTTCCTGGGAGCCTTGCGCATGGTTGTCATTGAGGTCAGACACCAGGCTGCATGATATATGTTACTTGTGCTCTGTCATCTGCTATCTCCTGCCTACTCCCAAGCAGACCTCTGGAGGTCAGAGCCTGCAGGCTCGACAAAATGACTTACCAGTACTCAGGGAGGCTTTAAGGAGAGGGGTTCCCATTTACTCTTTCCTTGTTGATTTGTGTGTCAAAACTCAGTAAAGGTTCATGAGTCTCACCTATATGGTAGCCACACCTTATTTGAAGGCAGAAAGACCTTGTATTTCCAAAAGATTTCACATTTGTCATACTGTCCTAAACTTATCAGCTTTGTTGGTATCATTCCAGTGAGGCCTGCCAGGGGAAGATAGGTGAAGGATCCCCAAGGACACACCACAGTAAGTCAGCCTTTAGAACCAGAGCTTCTGAATCTTGGCTGGACTTTTTCTTTTTTTCCTTTTTCTTTTTTTTTTTAAAGCAGACCAGTATTTTCCAAACTTCAGACATAGTTTTTACTGTATACATGTTATATAACATACTTGTCTTCACATTTTTTTCTAAGTCAATTCATTTATTTTAATTTGATCGTATCCTGATTAACAATATATACAAACTTATGGATTTGGTGTGCATATGCATGTTAAAATACTTAACTATTAGAACAAAAATAGCGTGTCTGAATATCGTGTTCACAGTGTAAATGTACTGCATTCAGAAAAATTAGATCATGCCGACATTTCCAGAGACTCTGTGCCCAAGGGAGATAGTCTTTGGTGATCAAGTCATCAGCCAGACTTCTGTTAGCTTGAGCAGCAAAGAAAGGTGGCTGGTTAGCTATTTAGGTATTCTACTTACAATATTCCTATCAACTAGGGAGTGGACATGCCTTTATTCCCAGCAAGCAAAGGGTGGATTTACTTTAATATTTGTAATATAAATAACATAGACATATACAGTCACGTATACCAAAAACCTTCATCCATATCTTATTTGCGATAAAAGCTAAGGAAGAACTTACATTACTTTTATATGAATTGTCTAAGGAAACAGGGCATTCACCAGAGCCATGAAGCTCAATATCCAAGGGAAGCAAGAATTTAATAAACATAACTGTATTTGGCCTTTCTTGGCTGGGCTTTTTTTTTTTTTTTTTTTTT